ATTTGATGGAAAATGCATGACTGAGATATTTCTAACAGCTTTAGCAAATACAGGGGAAAAGAAGAGACATTAACTTAAATAACAAGAGGCTCTTTGTTCCTAGTCTTTGTCTGACAGAAACAGAAGCTCACATTACTAGTAGTCTGTTAAAAAGAATAGATGTGTAATATGCACATTTAAGCACCAAGACACACTGAGATGTAATCAAGCCATCTATACACCACATAGGGTACCTGTGGTTTAACTACAGAGTTTCTACTATGTATCATTCTTGAGTTGTCATGTTTGCAATATGTCCTGCGTACAAACGACCCTGGTGGCAGGACAAAGTCACTGATTTAGTACTACTTCATAAATAATTTAAAAAAAGGGACAGTGTACCTCTCTCAGCCGCTCACTGAACGATACATGCAGCTGGAGTGCAGGCTGGTTCCCTCCCCCCTGCTCCACACAGCCCTGTGAAAGAGAAACAGAGACATCGAGCCATTAGACAGATCAACAGATCGAGTGCATTATTAACCCCTGCACAGGATCTAAGTTGTCACAGCAGCAAATTTACAGACACAATAAGAACAAGATATGCTGGGATTTTATATGTAATTACTAATATAGATCTAAGGCTGTTATACACAGCAAAGTTCTTTAGCATTCAAGTAGAAGTTATGGAAAAAATATCTAAATAAAATGATAAATCGAGTGAAAAGAAATGTTATGTATTGTAGCTGGGGAGGACAAAAATATAGAGACACCTGTAACTACATATAATGTACAACATCACCTTTAACTATGACCTCAATAGTAAACATAGAATTGAATTTATACATGTATGACAATTTCACCAAAAACAAACTATTTGAGCTTCATGAACACAGATGTTAATGTAGAAGTGTTGCACTAAATTTCATAAAACTGTACAGGTGTACCTAATAAAGTGGTCAGTGAGTGTACATACGTAAAGTACACTACATTAGTGCAGTCAGGTGGATGGAGACACTGTATTTTTCAGCTGATATTAAGTTTGAATAATAACAAATGTACATTAACGTACATATGATAATGCTAATATGCTGTCAGAGGAGATCTGTCCTGACACCGAAGAAGGTTCAAGGTACAGTGCAAGTGCACAGGGTGGAAGTACTTCCAGTGTAATGCAACAGTAAATTAATGGGAGAAACGTAACAAATATAAACAGAGAGGAGGAGGAGTCACTGAAGTGTTGGAGCATTTAAATGATGTGACACATAATCCATGACCTTCTCAGTCAGCGGCTCTTATTCCACTGAAGATTTGGACTTGGTGCAAATACTCAAGCCTCATTGAAACAACCAATGAACAACTACTACATCTTTGGGGAAGAATGGAATCCATCCTTCCAGGGGAGTTTCACTGTAAATCTGGAGTACTGCCCTCCATCAGATGTCTTGTGTCAATTTACTTCCCAAAGCTTTAATCTTTCCAGGTACGGCACAACAGACAATGTAGTTTCAATATTTATAAAGCTGGAGTTAGTAGGCATCTATCCACCTCAACAACACACAAAGAAAACTATCTACAAGACCACAAACCAGATTATGTTATCAACTGACAAGACAAATAGTCAATTATAAATAGCTGAAATCTTAGTGTGTTCCACTGACGTCTGCAATTCAGCACAGTCTCTCCTTCAGCTTCTCACTTTGAAAACAAAGCATCTTCCTTGCAGTTCACTTTCCACAGTTCATGACAAGGTGTGCATCCACCTGCATCACCATAAACGTCACTACCACAGGTGTGTGGGTGTACAAAGAAAATTATAAGGTGGGTCATATAGACCCAGTGTTTTAACGAGCTCTATTACAAATCTCAGTTTAAAAAAAGAGAGCTGCAACATAAAAACTGATACACACTGAAATATGAAATCGCATATCGAATCTCATAAATGGTAAACTGAACCGCCACACACAAAACATCTGATACATTCATTTTGTTTCAAACATAAACACACAAATGTGTTTTCCAGCAGCCTGAGGCACATTCCTGCAGCAACACATGCTGCTGCGACACGCCGGCCGTCCTTCTGCCGACTGAATCCTGATAACCTCCGAAACACATGCACAGCATCATCTGTCAGCTCAGACTGCAGCAGACAGACACTTTGTTGTCTAAGAAAACACCGCAAACACTCAGACAGACAGAAGACCAACTAGCACTAATGCATTATGGACAACGGAGTCACTAAAATATGCAGTGGAAAGAGTCCTTTGTGACCGATAACGACAGTTCTGCTGAGTATGATTATCAGCCAGAGCTCTGAGTCTCTTCAGTGTTTCTGTTGGCCTCCACTTTCAGGTCAGGCCACAAACAATGTGATGCTGCAGCGTCAGAACCAATCAGACACAAGCTACACAAACGCTACGAGGTTTTCAAGCACGTGACTTCACATTGTGTGTTCACTTTGATCCAAAGCACAGAGAAGTACAGTCATTTTCATTACAGTACTTTGAGTTTTTGTATTGCGTTCCTTTAGGATTAAGCTAAACACAGCTTCTAAACACGGCACATGATTTGCTAGTGGTTGGGCACTTTTAGTAACTTGTAATTCTGCCTGTTTAGAGATTCTGAAATCAAATCTGATTCCAATTTGGGCAACGTTTGTGCCTTGTCTGAGTTTTTGTCTTGTAGTCATTACACTGATGTTTTTGCAAAGACCTTTGTAAACTGTTTCTTCCTCAAAGCTGGATGGAGACCCACTGCATCTGGTGCACAAAATCTAGGGCACCATGTCATCCACACATTAGCAATTATGACTCTGTGCTGGCTCTTAATTTGAGATGGTGACAAGTATGCAGGAGGTTTGGAAACAGTTATGGTTAGGACTTTCAAGACTGAAATGCATTCTTATTCAAAGTTAATTTGATTGCTAAACCAACAGCAATTAACAGCACAACACCAACACTCAAGCTTTCTCCTCCTGACATCTCTCAGTTCTTTCACTGTTTTCTTCCCCTCCTTTCTCCATCTCTCCCCACATGACTCGTTCCTTCCCTCACGCCTTACCACTCATGCACACACACTTCCCTCAGCTCCTCTCAAGTGTTGCTGTTTTTCCTGTGAATTAATGACAGGCAGCAAATTACAGACTACAGTGACAAGCTGCATTCCTTCTCTTGTACAGTACAGCCCGAGTCCTGACCAGCTGAGTGCACACATACCGCTGCGTGCTAATACACTCACACAAGCCAAAGACAAAATTACAAAACCACCAACAAACAAATGCATTAATGGACAAACACAAGCAAGTAAAAAGTTACAAAACCTGCATTCATGCAAACATATGATCTGGATCTGATCCATACAGACAGAATCACATGATCCTACACTCAGACGATGTTCACAAATCTCAGTGAGGTCACTGTGGGCCAACACCACCTTCATTTAGTAAACATCTATCTGGCTTCTACTGTGAACAGAATGGACCAAAACTATTTAAACATCTGTCTATCGATGGCAACACACTGGGTTCCCATGACATTCTTGAGTCAGTTTTAATACACCATGATAACTTACTGCAGCAGCTCATATCCAGCACTACAGTAGCACTTTATTACACTTTACAGCCATATAATAATCCTTCTGCCAACATGATCAGACTCTAAAAATGTAAAATAAAGCCAGAGCTCTGTGAAACAAGGAGGAATAAATACAAGGGGGTTAAATCTTGGGGATGTTGTGGACACATATTTTATTTCTATAAAATAACATAGATTAATACTTCAGTGTCCAAGTGTTTCCTAAAACATGTGAAATACAGAACAATTTACTGCTGATCCAGTTTTTCCCCTCAGTTCAGGAACATGTGACGAGTGGAGAAATCGTCCCAGCGCAGACTCACGGACGTGTCGCTAATGAAGGCGAGGACATTAGGTCGGCCTACATTCATGAAAGAGGAAATGGGGCCATGTTTTGAAACAGTGACCTCATCCCCAGCACCACCCTTTTTCCCGCGAAGGGAAGCCAGAGAGAGAGAAAGGGACATAGTGTCAGTGACAAGGAGAGAAGGCAGTGAACGCCAGCCTCTGACAGCAACTGTACTGTGTGACTGCTTTGCATGAGGAAACAGAAAACATTCAGAAATTTTTACACAGACACAAACCACAAATACAGGCTACTACCCTTATAAACATACCATGCCCACATACACTCTTGGATACTTGTGAGGACTGTTGCCATTTTCTTTCCTCGTCTTCTGACCAACTTTTATTATAATTCTCATTTTAATCCTACAAAACTTTTGGGATTTTGGGTCAGGAATCAAATTGGACAACTGACTGATCCAATCTTGACAATAGATGTAACTTTTCTGTCCAGTATGACTTACACTTTCAGAGGATAACATTAGCTCGGAGTAGCTGCTAATACACATCGAAAAATCTGCTTAGAAGTCATAAAATAAAGCTGCTACATGGAACTCCAGCACTTTCCTGAGAATCATTGCATTTTTAAGTTTTCTTCAGACTCAAAGAAATCCAGCAACAGTAGTCTGTGGGTACACGGCAATCACAAGCTGAGGCCTGTGATTTTTATTATGGACTAAGCAATTATTTGAAAATGTACTCACCAAGCTGCAGCCCTAACCAATTCACCAATTACAAGAGCAATTCATTTCTATAAAGTTAGCTGTAAACCTGTTGACAAAACCATTCGGCAGTCATTTTAGAACTTATGAACATATTACATGATCTTCATCAGCAATAGAAAAGCTTCTAAGTGGACCCTGACATCAGTCCTGCTGTTGAGACAGTGGTCAGGATGGAAATGTGAACATCTACAGTCCAGTTTCATTGCAAATGAGCGAAATGATCCTCATCTGCTCGTGAAAATCATGTGATATGATCAGAAGCTACAGCTACTGAGTAAGGTGAGACTGTTCTGCAACCGTCACTTCCAAGGTAACGAATAAACTCTTTTCACTTTCTGAAACAGGAAACATCATTTTGAAAACTCTCATCCTGGTTTATCTCGAACATAAACCCAACTCAGAATTCTGAACTGAATGGCTTGTAGAGGCAAGGAGACGATTTCTTTCATGTCTCTATCCTGGTAAGCGCATCCAGGCCTAACAGATGCAGAGATACCAAGTGCGCACTCACACAGGAGGGCCTCTCTGCTGCTGGGATAAATCTTCAGTTTCCTGAAGAGAAGCCCACTACTCCCCCAATAAATCCCTCTCATCACCCCTCACACACTCCCCTCAAGACCTTCCATTGTCTCCCAGTAGGAATTTGGGGGAGGAAGGTCCTGCCAGGAAACCCATCGGGCCATCCTGAAAGCTGCTTCCTGAAGGCAGCAGGAAAACACCAGCGAGAAGACAAGCAGAGACTGAGCTGAACAAACAGAACCAGCAAGATACGCACAAACACACACTGCAGCATCCTGCAGCCGACAACCGCACTGAGGTTAGAAACACTTTATCATTT